CTGTCCCCCCAGTCTCCTCATGACCCCTCCATGTCCCCTCTGAACCACCCAGGTCCTTCCCTTACCACCCTCATGTGCCATCCCCACCCCTCTCATATTCCCCCCCATTTCCCCCTATCCCCTGACTCCCTCCCTTATCCCCCCGTGTCCCCCCCATGTCCTCCCCTGACCCCATGTCCCTGCTGTGTCCCCCCAGGTCACCCCCGATTCTTCAACCAGCTTTTCTCAGGGCTGGACCACCACGCCCTTGCCGGGCGGTTCCTCACCGAGACCCTCAACACAAGCCCGTGAGCCCCTGACACCCCAAAATGGGGGCTGGGGGATGGGGGGACCCCCTAAAAACCTGCCCAGATCCACCTGTGAGGGGCCCCTGGTCCTGGTGCTGATGGAGTGGGAGGTGATGGAGGGAGGATTTTTGAGTGCTTGGAGGGAGCATTTTGGGGGCATTGAGGAGCCCCGAGAAGGGAGGATCCCCCAAAAACCTGCCCTGACTTTTCCAATCCATCCCCCAGTGCTGGTGCTGATGGAGGACGGGGTGCTGGGGGAAGGTTTTGGGGTGCTGAGGGGAAGGTTTTGGGGTGCTGAGGTTCTGGGGAAGATCTCCTGACTCATGGGTTCCTCCAGATACACGTACGAGGTGGCCCCGGTGCTGGTGCTGATGGAGGACGGGGTGCTGGGGGAAGGTTTTGGGGTGCTGGGGTTCTGGGGAAGGACACCTCCTGACTCATGTGTCCCTCCAGATACACATACGAGGTGGCCCCAGTGCTGGTGCTGATGGAGGAGCAGGTCCTGGCCAAGCTCCGGGAGCTCGTGGGATGGAGCAGTGGYGATGGGATCTTCGCTCCCGGTATCCTGGACCCTTCCTGGGATTATCCCTGTCGCCCCTGTCACCCTGGTGGTGCCCCGAGGGTGACACGGGTGACCATGTTCCCTGGTTTGGGCAGGGGGCTCCATGTCCAACATGTTGGCCATGAACGTGGCGCGATTCCGGCGCTTCCCGCAGAGCCGCAGCAGAGGMAACTGGGACCTTCCTCGCCTGGGCCTCTTTGCATCTCAGGAGGTGGGAGCAGGGGGCTCGGGGTCACCCCAAAATCTGTTCCTCAGGGTCATCCCAATTAGAATTCATGAAGTCACCCCAACTGTGGTCGCTGGGGCCATTCCAAACTTGATCCTGGGATCATGTCAAAACCTGATCCCTGGSATCCCCACAAAATCTGATCCACAGTGTCACCTGGGGTCATCTGAAAATCCTGGTGTCACCCCAAAATCTCATCTATGGGGTCACCCCAAGTCTGGTCCCTGAGGTTACCCCAAATCTGGTGCTGTTTTCCTGCCCAGAGCCATTATTCCATCCAAAAAGGAGCCGCTTTCCTGGGAATTGGCACAGACAACGTTCACCTGGTGCAGACAGATGAGAGGTGGGAGCTGGGGGGTCCCAGGGGACCCTGGGCCGGGGGGTCTCTCTATGTCCCCATCCCTGTCCCTGCCCCTCAGGGGGAAGATGATCCCAGAAGAGCTGGAGAAGGAGATCCAGAGGGTGAAAGCTGAGGTGGGAGGCTGCACCCCTGCATGTCCCCAAAGCCCCCCAAACTCCCCAATGCCATCTTGGTACCCCAATGGCCTYCCCAGTGTTCCAAAGCAACCCAAAAGTCTGTGTGTCCCCCACTATGTCCCCAAGGCTCTCCCATGTCCCCCCATGTCCTCACTCTCCCCCAAATACCCCAAATCTCCCCAAATAACCCCGATCTCCTCCAATGCACCCCCCAATGTCCCTTCAATGTCTCCCCAATGCACCCAAATGTCCCCTGTCCTCCCTCAAAGTCCAGTCTGCCCCAAAATCCTCTGACCCCCATTCCCTGCACCCCCAATCTCCCCCTGTACCCTCCAACCCCCTAACCTAGCCCAAACCTCCTCAAAGTCTCCCCAAATGCCCCCCCAGATCTCAGAGCCCCTTCTTTGTGCCACCATCCCGGCCACCTTTGACCTCCTGTGCCCACCTGTCCCCTATCTCCCAAATCCCCCCCAAGCCTTCCTAGATCCCCCCAAACCCCTCCAGATCCCCTCCAAATGCCCCCCAAACTCCCCCAAATGCTCCCCCAGGGCTCAGAGCCCTTCTTTGTGTGTGCCACGAGCGGCACCACCGTCCTGGGCGCCTTCGACCCGCTGGACGCCATTGCCGACGTCTGTGCCCGCCACGGGCTGTGGCTGCATGTGGATGTGAGTTTGGGGGTTTCTCGGTTTGGGAGGGGTCCCAGGGGTCCCCCTGTGGGCACTGATCCCCCTTTAAACCGAGGGGTCCCAGGGGTCCCCCTGTGGGCACTGATCCCCCTTTAAACCGAGGGGTCCCAGGGGTCCCCCTGTGGGCACTGATCCCTCTTTAAACCGAGGGGTCTCAGGGGTCTCCCAGTGGGCACTGATCCCCCTTTCCCTGCAGGCAGCGTGGGGGGGCAGTGCCCTCCTTTCCCCCCGACTCCGGCACCTCCTCGCCGGCATCCAGAGGTGTGTTCCTCCCCCTGCCCCCAGCTGGCTCTCACCCCTTCTCCCCCCAAGTTTTGGGGATCCCCTTTTCCCCACGGAGCCCCCCAAATCCCGCTGTTTCCCCCCACCAGAGCCGACTCGGTGACTTGGAACCCCCACAAGCTGTTGATGGTGGGGTTGCAGTGCTCGGCGTTCCTGCTGCRTGACACCTCTGTAGGTGCCCCCATCCTCAATTCCTGCCCCTGGGATGCCTCTCCAGGCCCCCTCATTAATTTTGGGGTGCTCCCTGCCCCTCCAGGGACTTCTGCAGCGCTGCCATGGTGTGGGGGCCTCGTACCTGTTCCAGCAGGACAAGTTTTACGATGTGTCCCTGGACACAGGGGACAAGAGCCCCCAGTGTGGCCGCCGTGCTGACGGCCTCAAGCTCTGGATCCTCTGGAAAGCCGTGGGATCCCAGGGCYTGGGATGGCGTGTGGAACGGGCATTTGCAGCCACTCGGTGAGCCCCGGGTTTGTGGGGGATGCCCCGGGTTTGGGGGGGACCCTCCACACCCCCAAACTGGGTTTCACCCCTGTGTTCCCCTGCAGGTAYCTGTTGGAGCAGGTGAAGAGCAGGGAAGGATTCCAGCTGGTGATGGAGGTAGGGATGGTGCTGGAATGTGGGATGCAGACACCTAAAAATCCTGGAAGTTGGAATGTCATGGGTTTAAATCGTCCTGGGGGGTTTAAAACCCAGGGGATTAATCCCAAAGKTTTGAATCCCCAAGGTTTAAATACCAGAGTTTTCAATCCCAGAGGTTGAAATCTCAGAGGTTTAAACTGTCCCAAAAATTGAAATCTTGGAGGTTTAAATCCCTGAGGACTAATCCCAGAGGTTTAAATCCTGGAGATTGTTATTCCTGAGATTTAAATCATCCCAGAGGCTGAAATCCCAGAGGTTTAAATCATTCTCCAGTGGTTTGAATCCCTGAGGATTAATCCTAGAAGTTAAAAACCTGGAGATTTGAATCCTGGAATTTTAATTTTTGAATTTAAATTTAAAATCATCCYGGAAGTTTCCATTTTGGAGGTTTAAATCCCAGAAGATAAAACTCTGCAGGTTCCACTCCCAGTCAATTAAATGCACAGGTCTGAACTCCTGGAGGTCCAAATCCCCATCAAATTCTGGGAATTGGGTGAATGATCTCCTTCCTTTTCCCACAGCCAGAATTCCTCAACCTCTGCTTCTGGTTCATCCCACCCAGCCTGCGGGGCAAGGAGAACTCCCCAGAATTCTGGGACAAACTGGGAAAGGTGAGACCAGAATTCCTAATTCCCCCCT